GAGGGGACAAAAATCAGATGGACTATTTGACTACATAATTTAAAAAATTATGTACCTTGTGAATGTATTACTTATTAAAGAGTAATGTAAAACATTCACTTCAATGAGACTATTATATGCATTTCTTCACATTGTTTGTTTCTTGATCTTGAAATCAAATCTCAGAGAAAAGAAGTTTAGTCACCTCTTTGCTGTATATGCAAAACACAGTGCACCTTTATAACCCTTTATTAAAAATACAGTGAAAAAACTTCTTGTAGTTTTTAATCAGATTAGGCATTTTTATGACTTCAATAACCACTAAAAATTGTATGTGGATTATGATGAAGTAATAGCTTAATTTCTTTCTAAGGGATCTCAATGGATGTAAGTATACATGTGTTCAATTATATTACATAAAGCACGGAAATACTTGGAATGAAAAGCCCTAAGGAAATATGAAAGATGAGTAGATTAAGTGGTTTTTTGGAAACTCGGAGCGTATTTATTTCAATCACATCCTTTTCCAAAGATCAAGTAGAAATTTACTGGGTTCCAAATGTCTTTTAAAACTTATTATGCAAACTCCAGATGTGTTTCCTAAGAGAATCAATCATTATTTCATTTCAAGTAATGTAAGATTGTCATGTTTTTCATTACTTCACTCACTTGGTCATCGTCCTCAAGATGACTAGGAATGAAGGAAAAATAAAAGTTTTAAAAGGGTTAAATGCTAACCTTAGCAATAAAACAAAGATATCTCTGGCTCTGTTAGACAAGGGAATATTACAATGAACACTCTTATATCATCCACTACATAAGAAACACTTGTATGTTGTGTCAAATGTAGTTGAAACCTGCTGTGTTTCCTTCTCTTCCAACCATCCTGATTTTGCTTTCTATTTTTACTACATATGTATACATTCTAGACAACACATTATAGTTATGCATGCTTTTAATTTTTTTCAGTGTGCTTCTTAGGACAAGGTATGCATGTTTAAATTTTCTGACTCTTTTTTCTGCATTGAATGTCTTTTGGGTTTATAATTATGAAATACACAATAAATAAGTGTAGATAACTTACATGTACAGTTGAGAGACTCATGAGGTGAACATGCCCAGGCTCACTACTCAGCTTTACAAAAGCATTACTATTTCTTGTGCATTCTTCTCGACTGCTCCTAACAGAACTATTCACTATCCTGAATTTTGCAACAACCATTCCACTTTTCTTCCCGTTTTACCCCAAACGTTGTTTTTTTTTAAACACTATATTCAGCTTTTTAGGTCTTTAAACGTTCTATAAACATTGTATATACTCTCTCACAATGGGCTTTAGTTTTTGCTCAATATGATGTTTTTGCGACATACCCAGCTTGGTACCTGTAAGCTGTAATGCTTTCCTTTCCCCGGCTATCTGTTATACTAGTGTCATGAAAAAATCAATTTATTCATTCATTTTCCTGTTGATGAATAGACTACATTTTAAAAATTTGTTTTGCTATCACAGCAATGCCTTAGTACATGGTTATTTTTATGCACATATACTAGAGTTTCTCTAAGCTGTGACCCTCGGAGTAGAAGTACTGGCTAAAGGGCATATGCCTGTTGGGCTTCACTAAAACTACATACGTTTTGTTTTTTTTTATGTACATTTTCAGATAGTTGAATTATCTCTTCCTTAACGTTATCCCTTTTTGTATCTTATCTAGGAAATCTATCCTTACCCCCAAGATCTTAAAGTTATTTTTCTGTATTGTCTTTTAAAAGTTGTATAGTTTTATGTTTAGATCTTTTTTTTTTAAGATTTTATTGGGGGATTGGGGGAGGGGAACAGACAAGTTGACAAGTTGCTGTCTTTTTGTTCTTCAGTCTAGTTGTGGAGGACGTTGCTCCACTGGCCCATGTTGGTATCATCATTGTGCTTTTCCCAGGTGAGGCAGATTGGTCGCCGGCCTGTGGACGGCCGCTCACGGCGGCTCATGGCAGCTCACGTTAGCTGTTGGCCGCTCATGCTGACTGCCGGCCACACACGGTAGCTTATGGCAGCCCACTGCAGTTTCACTGCAGCCTACACCATCACCGGCGACTCACAGCAGCCCAGCTCCAGGTCGAGCTGTTGTTCACCATCTTAGCTGTAGAGGGCAGTGTCACTGGCCCTCATGTGGGATCCNTGTTCACCATCTTAGCTGTAGAGGGCAGTGTCACTGGCCCTCATGTGGGATCCGAACCGGGGCCCTGCTGCTCAGAGCCGGCGTCCCAAGCCAGCTCTTAACCAACACACCACTCGGCCGGCCCTATGTTTAGATCTTTAATTTGGGAATGGATTTATTTTTTTTTAATGGTGTGAAGTTGAGGCTCTGTTCTTTCCACATGGATAGATAACCAGTTGTCCCACTGAGGCAGGATAAGTAGCCTAGAAAATTGACCACCCCCTCCAGGATACAACTTGAGGCACCTCACTGGTTAACACAAGTAACAAGTGACAATCCAGCACCTGCAGCTGGAGGAAAACAAAAACCAGTTTCATCCAGCAAGGCTAATCCCTGTGCCCTGGGCCTGACCTTTAGCTAATTTCAGTGTCATTATAATCTCATTTACATTGTGGTTACTAGATTCCCATTATGCACCTGATGTCGGTTCCAGAGGAACCAAAAAAGGAAAAAAGAGCAGGAAACAGGTTCCCACCCATAGGGAGGAGATGAATGAGCCATGTCATTGGAACATCATTAATTTCAGCCCTGGGAGGGATAAAAACCCCGGATCAGGACTTCCTTGGCTTGACTCAATCTCTGATTTTGGCTATACTTCCCTCTCAAGTGTTTACTTTCATTTCAATAAATCTCTCTCCCTTTCCTGCATCTGTCTCCCTGTTTAATTCTTTCTTGTGCAAAGACAAGAACCAGGTCACTGCTGCTCTGGGTTGAGAATTCTCTTGGACCTCCCCGTGAGCCTCTGGCTACACCATCACCATTCATTGAAGAGTTTATCCTTTACCATTGATGTGTAGCGCTAGCTGACATAAACCAAGTATCTCATTCCCAGCGTGAAATACTAGATTTCTTAGGCCCAGATATTCATAGACTTCTCACTTTTGTCCTAGTAATGTTCTATTTTCCACATCAAGGGCTTAGGTTGCAGCTCTAATCTTTCTGTACCCTCATTTCATTATGGGTAGGTGTCTAGGTACTTCAGGGGCACTTCAGTTTTGTCTTGGATAGTCTTGAAAGTTTATATTTTTATAATTTTTTTTTACATCAGATGTTTCTTTGCAGTGGCTTAACGTTTGAAATTATTTTGTGTTGTTTTTTTTTGGTAAATATTAAAATATGAGTCCTTGGAAATATTTTTTATATATAAAGTAAGTTTATCTGTAAATATGTAAGCGGTGCAAGTTTAAAGGACATTGTAGTTTTCTGATATGTTGTCTAACTGTTGACAGTTCTGAAGAAGTCTAATAAAAATGTATATACATAAATGAAAAAAAACAAACAGGCAAACTGTGGAAATGATGAAAGAGATATGGGTTCTAGCCCTGCTTCCTAAAGAGCAAGTTTAGTAGGGAAGACAGACATAGAGCTTCACAGAACTAATCCCAATTATAGTTATTTGGATTTAAAATATCTGCCTTCTCATAACACAGTAATGAGAACAAAAACTGAGTCTACTCTTTACCACTATATTCCTAGCATTTAACACAGTGTCTGTCACTTAAAACACTCAATATTTGTCCAAAATGTAGAGCTAACAGATAATTTTACGATGAGTGGCAATAATAGTATGATGAGTGCCAAGAAAGAGCTATATGCAAGATGCTACGCCATGTATTCCGGAGTATCAAGGATTCACACCGGGTTCGTTGCAGTACAGGATAACGCGAACATCCTGCCCTTCCTGTGTCGTATGCACATGTGTGATGAGACAGATCTTCAATTGGAGCTGATCAGATTATCAAAAGTTGTGGGGTTTTTCCCAAAGTGCTAAAATTTTTGTTTAATAAGCCTTCTGCTTGGGAAGTACCTTTGCTTCTGGATAGCTAAGCAGGGCCAGGAGGTGATAGGGAACAAGTATTTGGCTTTGATTCTAAGTTTTAAAGAGGTGGGGTATAAGGAGCCATTAAAGTCCATAGATCCAGTCAGGGCACGTGTCAGAGTGAAGTACAGGTACATTCTGCCCTAGAAAATGCCTTATACTCTTTATGTTGGAGGACGTGAAGTAAGTGCAGCACCAGGAGGCCACAGGAATTTGGCCCACGATGAACACCAGTGAGGTGGCCTTGTAAGGTCTTCGTATCTCTTAAAATTCTGAAGCTTTTTCCTTTCTCCTTGCTTCAGAGCACTACAACCACCAATGGCTTAGATCTTATGATGGCTGCTGCTTTTCCAAACTGATTCTTTTCTTTACCATCTCCTTTGAGCTTTTCATTCCTCTGCAAAAATTCAATCTCGCTCTTCCCTGTTTTCAAAAAGAACATTAGAAGAAAAACAAAACAGGACAAAGCTCTAAAATAATAAGGTATATGGACTTTTGTTTTTATGCCTATTAATATACTTTGCTTTCAAAAATATAACTTCATTATAGGCATTAAGCACATTCTTTTTGTGGGCCGTTTAGATTAAACGTTCTCTGTGGGCAGGGATCATTTTTATATTTCTTTTGCTCCTCTCAGTAGCCTAGCACAATGTCAAGCAGATTGTAATAAGCACTCAAGGTATTTGATGGAACATGTACAAATTTAACACACTGTGCATACTTAAGGTAAAAATCGAAACTAAGAATTACATGTATTCATTTCTTTCCTTATTTTCATATAACACCCTGTTCAGATGCCCTTATAAGCTCTTACCACACTTAAACTGCCTATTTGGAGAAGGCCTTTAATAAGCTGTTCTATAAACAAAATGACATACTGCAACTTATAAAGTGAAAAAGGTAAAATAAATATGATAAGACATTTTAAAATGAAGACCGACAAAATTTTGACAACCAGAACAAGGATGTTTTTATCATTCATTTTGAAATGCAACTCAATATTACATTCAGTTTAGTTTCAAATAGGTATCTCTCTACCTGATAGTCATACTCAAATGTCGCCAAATTATTAATTTTTAAAAAGTAAACTTTTTTCTTAAATTTTCATATATGAAGAAAAGTTATAGAGTATAGTCTCAGGCTTATGTGGAATTATGACTGATTTCAACAATTACTGATATCTTTTTTTTTAATCTTCATATTAATGTACAGTTTGTCCATTTAATAGACTGAAGACAGCCACAAATCTAGCATTCTCAAAACAACACATAACTGAAAAACATAATGCCACAAATCAACTTATTTCCTTTAAAACTTCACTAAGTAATTTCAAGAAGTATAGCAAAACATGAAAAGATCCCAGTGTTCATACTAAGAATTAGGCAGCCTTCTTTGATTTTTTCTTCTCTGCTTCTTCCTTTTCCTTTTCTATTGCAGTTACTTGTAACTCAATTTCTTTGGCACTAAACATCTGAAAAGAAAAGAAGTTTAAAAACAAATTGCAACTCTATCAATAATTTCTAAATATTTACAATATGAAAGTACCCTATTATATCTTATAACTTTCTATTTATAACTTTATATTTTATAACTTCAAGTATATAATGAAGAGCTTCAAAAGGTTCAAAAGCAACATACTTGTAAAAATTATGGACAAACACAGAACTCTGACATTTCCACTATCATTGTGCTAAAAAAGAAAACAGGGCAAAATGTGACATTGTATTACATATCCTATATAAGCATATGACTCTGAAAACATTTAAATGCAAGGCTTATTCAGTTCATGAGCAAATAACTCATTACTGAACTCTCCTACCCCCATCTCACTGTGTGATTCTCTGATAGGGTGTATTTTATCAGCTCAGAGACTAGCCAAAAAAGTTAGGGAAAAAATGATTCGCACTGCTTTATTTACAACTCCCTCACTAAGTACAAAGCCAAAAGAGTTATTTTATTTAAATAAAAAATGGGAGCAACTGCTGAAGATCATACTGTTAAACACACAGATCTGCAGAATTTAATCCAGATCTATCCAACTCTAAAGCATGTGCTCTATTCGCCACACAGCCAACTCTGAAATAGCATGTGAAAGGAGAGTATAACTTTGCTGCTAGGACATATACCATCTTACCTCTCATAAGTAAAAATATATAACTGGGGATGTGTGGGTGTATGTCTTTCTGGGTGTGTATAAATGCATGTGATGGGGCTGGAGAGCTGACAGTGGCCTCAGTGGTTCTGTGTCCCTCTGATGGCACATCTGTCCCTGGACCATTGGCAGCCGTGGTGACAACTCCACCCAGTTCCAATCTCCACACTCTGTGCTCTGCATCCTGGTTATTTATGTGGGGTTGTGTAGGGGAAGACCACACTACCCTGTCCCTATTTCTCTTATTCATTAAAAATTTGCTGCTGTCCTATCCTCATGTCCCCATCTATTGGTTAACTCATAAAATGTGGGAATGTGGTATCAAAACAACAATGACAACAACAAACCTCCCTTCAAATAAAAAAACCCACTGCTGGGCCAGCCAAGTGGCTCAGTTGGTTAAGAGCTCACTCAAGAGTGTGAGCTCAGAGCAACAGTGGTTCGATGCCTGGCCCACGCTGAGCTGCTGCTGTTTTGCCAATAGGTGGCAGGATGGCTCAGCTAAAAAAACAAAAACAAAAAACCACACTGCCCACCACACAGCATTGATTTCAATACTACTTCCTTTGACATATTTTCCTTCAAACAAAAGAAAAGGTACATGTAAAATAACACTTCTTAGCACGTTTTTCATATAGTTTCCCATACTTTAAGAGTTTTTATACATTTTTAGCTAAAGAGAGCTAGTTGGCAAACTATACTGTAAAATTCTACCTAAGAAACAATAGTGAACCACATTTCAAATGCTCTTTAGCCTGATTCCTCTTTCATAATATTTGGAATAGTTTATCACAGTGTTCTGAACAATTTATTTTGTGGTCCAGCAGTTTTAATCCATAATGGCTGATAAAAGATATACAAATAACAACATTAGAATTGCCACAAAGAAATATGGAAAGTTTATCACACTAGGTATTAAAATTTAAGTCTTAACAGAGGCTCAAGGCACTTTTAAGTGAAAAGTGGAGAAAACAGATAAAAACCAGTAGGCAATCAAGAATGGGTGGAGGTTTTTTTGATATAATGAAGGATAACATTATGTCAGAAGCTGGGAGGGCCAACAATTATATAAATGGCAGCTGGATGACATTAGCTGGAAGCATATCTTGATTTTAGAAGATCTAAAAAATGCAGGAAGAGTAACTGCTCTCTATATGGTACAAGGAATGAATCAACATAAGGAATATGCTATTATACTGAACTGACGGAGTAGGGATTCCTACGTATAAGAACTTATACTTAATGGGATAGGTCTATATATAGATCTCAGCACCTCTAGGTCTTCACAAAGGGCTAGGGATAGGTAACTGTAATAAGCACATACAAATTAATGAATTAGACTACAGAAACAAAACAGAAGTTGTCATATTGTCAATGGATGCTAAGGGGTGTTTAAGACTTAAAATGAAGATTCACAGATGTCAACATATTTTATACTACACATATTTTTTTTCCTATTTTGTTAATGACTTGCCTTCAAAGGTTGGTTTCTTCTTATTATAGCAAGTTCAATGTTTTTTCCGCCAGACTGGACAATCTAATTAGAAGAAGTACAGTATTAAAATTATTTCAGGAAATTCTGTGTTTTAAATAAGCAATTGAATGGGGAGGAAAAACACCATGCCTTTCTGAAGATGCTTTATTAGATCACTTACTTCTAGCAAAGCTCTTATTGCTAATTTGATAGCTTCGTTGTCATTTGCTATAGCATCTTCTGTGTAATTCTTTTCTAGAAATTCTCGGACAGTTTTAGCACTTCGGCCAATTGCATTTGCCTTGAAAAATAGAAGATAACTATTAATATCACTTCAGTATGAAGGAATTTATGGTTAGTAAGTAAAGTTTAAAAGTTTACAGTTTGCCCCAGTATTTCTTAGTATAATTACTAAATGAAAATGGTAGGTTTGAAAACTTAGCAAAAATTTCAGCAGCTCATTTGGTTACCATAAGAATAATTTGTAGTAATGGTATGACTTGATTTCAAATATACCAATGCTTTATCCTGGCCAATGCTTTCTTTTGCTTAAATGGCTCCCAAGTACTTGACAGTTAGAAGATATTAAAAAAGTTGAGACTACTAAAAGACGTGGAAAGGAGGTGTAATTTGCAATATGGTGCAAAAAGAAAAAAGAACAGAAAAAAACTCCAACATACATGCCATGGCGATCTGGAAACACGTTTGTTCTGGAGACTGTGCACTAACCACAAGAAACATTTCATCGGCAGCTAAACTGGCATTCATGAGCAAAGCTCCTGGCTTCCAGTTCAAGATGGTGGAAAAGAACAATCTTGCGCTCACCTCCTCTCATTGACACCAAAAATTCAACTACATACAGAACAGATACCTCATGGAATGACCTTAACACTAGAGAACAGGTTTTCTACAACCAAGGATATAAAAAGTAAACACCATATTGAGATGGGTAGGAGGGGCAGAGACTCAATCTAGTCAGGACCCTCTCTACCCGCTACTTCTGTGTGGTGACCCACAAGTGGGAGGGATATCACAACCTTGAGGTCCTCCCCTGAAGAGTGATGGGTCTGAGCCCCAGCCTGGGGCACCTCCACTGGGAAGAGGAGCCTTATAACATCTGGCTTTGAAAACCAGAGGAACTTAGGACTGTGAGAGCCAAAGGGCTGTAGGAAACCAAGGTAGTGCTCTTTCCAAGTCCTAGCGCAAAGGGAGCAATTTGAAAAGCACCTGGGTTATATGTGAAGGTGATACACTAACTAATTTTAGGGTGTGTGCTGGAGGGACAGGGATCTATTCTAAGTTTCTCTAGGGACAGAAGTTCTGGTGGTACCTTGTCCTCCCCCCCCCCTCTTTCTTTACTCTCCTACCACCTATCTCATCTGACACTAGCAGGCACCATTTCTGACACTCATTAACCTTGCTAACACTGTTTAACACACAGTGGCATTTCCCTGAGGATCCACCCTGGCTGGCACCCTTCCAAAGTGGTCCTGCCCTGCCTCATCTGGTGGGTAGCCTCAGCTGTTACTGGGGTCCCCCAAGGCAGTCCCTGCCTCACCACCCCTAGTGGGCAGCCTCATTCGGCACCAGTGCACAGCAATGTATCTGCAACAATTGAGGTTGGGACTCACAGCCAGCCACACCAGAGGCCCATCCTACACACCAGTATGCCAGCAGCAGTTGCAGTCAAACCCACCAGCCAGTTGCACTGTGGGGAGGGGGGCTGCCCTGCACAACAATGTACCCACAACAGTTGTAGCCAGGCCTCACAGCCAGCCAAGCCAGGGATCAGCCTCGCCTGCCAGTGCATCTGTGGCAGCTGTGGCTCAACCACAAGAGGAGGCCACACTAGTCCACATAGGGAAAACCTCTGGAGCACCTGGTTCTGGTGACTAGGGGGTACTGCACCACTGAACCCCACAGGACACCTTCTACATAAATCTACTTTTTCAAGACCAGGAGACGTAGCTGATCTACCTAATACATAGAAACAAACAGGCAAAATGAGGAGACAAAAGCATATGTTCCAAACACAAAAACAAGACAAAAGCCCAGAAAAAGAACTAAATGAAATGGAGGTAAGCTGTCTACTGGATAAATAATTCAAAGTAATAGTTATAAAGATGGTCATCAAATTCTGCAGAACAGTGGGTTAACTCAATTAGAACTTCAACAAAGTGATAAAGAACCAATCAAAGTAAAAAAGAACCAATCAGAACTTAAGGATATAACAACTGAAATGAAAAATACACTGGAGGGAATCAACAGCAGATCAGATGATGCAGAAAAATATCAGAGATCAGGAAAATAGGATAGTGGATATCACCTCATTGGAAGAGCAAAATGAAAAAAGAATTTAAAAGAATGAGGATAGCATAAGGGACCTCTGGGACAACATCAAGTGTACTAACATTCACATCATAGGGCTCCTGGAAGGAGAAGAGAGAAAGAAACAGACAGAAATATTTGAAGAAATAATGGCTGAAAACTTCCCTAACCTGGTGAGGAAACAGACATCCAGGGAATCAAGGAGAGTCCCAAACAAGAAGAACCCAAAGAGACCCACACCAAGACACGTAATAATTAAAATGTCAAAAGTTAATGATAAAGAGAGAATCTCAAAAGCAGCAAGAGACAAACAACTAGTTACATATAAAGGACCCCCTGATATAAGCTGATATAAGGCTATCAGCTGATTTTTCAGCACAAACTTTGCAAGCCAGAAGAGAATGGCACAATACACTCAATGTGATGAAAGGGGAAACCTACAACCAAGAATACTCTACCAAGCAAGGTTATCATTCAGAATTGGAGGCAAGATAAAGAGTGTTACAGACAAGCAAAAGCTAAATGAGTTCATCATCACTAAACCAGCATTACAAGAAATGTTAAAGGGACTTCTTTAAGCAAAAAAGACAAGGCAAAAGCTAGAAATAAGAAAATATATGAAAGAAAAATGAAATCCCACTAGTAAAGGCAAACATATAGTAAAGGAAGTAGACCAACCACCTATAAAGCCAGTTTGAAAACAAAATGGCAATAAGTACATGTGTATCATTTATTATGTTAAACGTAAATGGACTGAGTGCTCCATGGGTGAATGGATAAAAACAAAACAAGGCAAGATCCACACATACACTTCCTATAAGAGACTCACTTCAGGTCTAAAGACACACAGACTGAAAGTGAAAGGATGGAAAAAGATATTTCCTGCAAACAGAAATGAAAAGAAAGCTGGAATAGCAATACTTGGACAAAATAAGCTTTAAACAAAGATTGTAACAAGAGGCAAGGGTATGACATAATGATAAACGGATCAATACAACAAGAGGATATAACACTTGTAAACCTCTATTCTCCCAACATAGGAGCAGCTAAATATAAATAGAAAATATTAACAGACATAAATGGAGAGATTCACAGTAATACAATAATAGTAGAGGACTTAAATACCCCACTTGCATCAATGGATAGATTATCCAGAAAAAATCAACAAGGAAACATCGGCCATAAGTGACATGTTAGACTAGATAAACTTAATAGACATGTACAGAACATTGCATGCAAAAACAGTAGAATATACATTCTTTTCAAGTGCACATGAACATTCTCCAGGGTGTATCACATGTTAGGCCACAAAACAAGTCTCAAGATTGAAATCATATCAAGCATCTTTTCTGACCACAATAGTATGAAACTAGAAATCAATTATAAGAGTACTGGAAAAAATATACACATGGAGGCTAAACAACATGCTACTAAGCAACCAGTGGGTCAGTGAAGAAATCAAAGAGGAAATAAAAAAAAATGCCTTGAGACAAATGAAAATGAAAACATTACAATATCTATGGGGCAGAGCAGAAGTCTTTCTACACAGGAAGTTTATAGCCATAGAGGCTTACCTCAAGAAATAAGAAAACAAATAATCTAACCTGATACCTAAAGGAACTAGAAAAAGAACAAACAAAATCAAAAGTCAGTAGTAGAAAGGAAATAATACAGACCAGAGAAGAAGTAAATGAAATTGGAGGTGGAGACTTCATTCTCCTTGATTTCAAACTATAACTACAAAGTTATAGTAATCAAAACAGTGCGGTACTGGCTCAAAACACATAGATCAATGGAACAGACTAAAGAGCCCAGAAATAAATCCACACTGATATGAGGTGTGATCAGAAATATGATGTTTAAATTTTAAAAAGTTTATTACACTAAAAGACACATTGCCATTAATCCCCCTCAAAATACTCCCCCTCATTTCGAACACACTTATCCCATCATTCTTGCCACTTTCTGAAGCAGTTCTGGAAGTCCTCTTTCGTGAGTGTCTTTAGTAGCACAGTCGTGGTTGCCTTGATGTCCTGAGTCATTTTGACTTTGGGGAAAAGCCAGAAGTCACACGATCCCAGGTTCAGTGAATAAGATGGATGAGGACATGTTTTCATTTGACAGAAATTGCTGTACCAGAAGACACGGAACCTTTTCCATTGCGATAAAAAAAAATATGGTAAATGCCAGTGCTGAGTGCCATCCAACGGAAAGGCAGGGATCTTCAATACGAGGAGAGGCACATCGAATCTTAGTAACAGTGTGTCACAAGTTTTAACTTGTTCGGTGCAATCAGTCACGTGTGAGCTACAGTTAAGAAAAGGTGTGTTTTAAAGTGTGTTGTAGGGCTGGCTGGGTGGCACGTTGGTTAAGAGTTGGCTTGGGATGCTAGCTCTGAGCAGCAGGGCCCCGGTTTGGATCCCACATTAGGGCCAGTGACACTGCGCCCTCTGCAGCTAAAATGGTGAACAACTGCTCAACCTGGAGCTGGGCTGCTGTGAGTCATCGGCGACAGTGTAGGCTGCAGTGGGGCTAGCTGGCAGCTGGCGTGCGCTTTCGTGAGCTGCGTGAGTGGCCGTCCAATGGCCGGCGAGTGACTGCCTGACCTGGGAAGATCTCAATGATCACAATACCAACATGGGCCAGTGAAGCAACGTCCTTCACAACTAGACTGAAGAACAAAAGGACAGCAACTTGGCTGTTCCCCTTCCCCGATTCCCCAACACTGTTCCCCTCCCCCAATTCCCCAAAAAAATCTTTAAAAAAAATAAAAATTAAAAAATTAAAAAATTAAGTGTGCTGTAAAGTATCCTCCATCATGACAATGCTCCGTGTCACACATCACTTCTGGTACAGCAATTTCTGTTAAATAAAACATTTCTTTTATTCCCTTTGTAAGCTCCCTAAAGGAGCTACCTTCACTTTCTTCCTTACTATTCTTTTCCTCAATTTTCTATTTTGAACATTTTCACA